CAAATGTTGACGACTTTGTCAAGCTTGCCAGCTGCCAAATAACACAGCAAAGCATTCTTTCTCCATTCACCTGCCTTTTCAGCCGGAACATGAGACCCGCCCGTGCCCGTTGCGACCCTGTACTGGAACTCGATCCGCTGTCCGAGCTGTTCAGCCAAGCTGTTGAACTCGTCCTCTTTTGCGAAAGTGCAAAGCACCACAAAGATTTCTTGCCACTCCGACAATTCGGCATTTTGGACGACATCGGATAGATCGTTGGAAACGATCGACTGGAAGAGTCGTAAGTAGGGTAGAGCAGCAGTTCGGCGTTCAAAGTAGGACTGCTGGGTACGTGCTAACAACTCGGGACCACCTCGAACGGCGAGAACGAGGGCGTCTGCAAATCTGTCGACTGAAAGCGAAAGTGTGACGGCGGATTCGAAATCACCGACCACAAGTGCTCGAGTAATCAACCGGTCGACTTCCGACTCATCGGCCGGGTAAATCTTGAAGGTGTTGGATTTCAGGGTATCTGACACGACAGAGGAAGCTCGGGAGCCCTGTGTGGCCGCGACCGATGAGTCTTTACCGTGTTCTTGATGAGGTATCGACATTCTGTCCGGCAATGCTGTTCTATCCGAGTTCATCGAGCTGAAAAAGTCGGCACCAGCGACAGCCGCATCGACTTGAGGAGTTCCATGACCGCCTTCGCTTCCGCCAAACAGGTCTGTCGCCTCAGTGTCTGCTTCGGTGACAGCGGTTTTCTTGGTGGTATCGGTTGCCGCGCTGATCTCGGATGGGGTAGCTTCGGATTGAGCGCCTTTGGCAGAAGGATCGAGATCGCCTTCGTTGGTGGTCTCTGCGGTTTCCGAGTTTGCGTCTTTGTGATCAGCAAATGTTACTGCGGGGTCTCGCGGAGTACCAGGCACCGTAGTGTCGTCTGATTGGTCCTTGCGACCGTGGACCGCTTCGTACTTTTGTATGGCTTGGCTGACTTGAGATGCGATCTCTGCCTTTGAGAATCCGAGTAATGTAACGAGCTCGTCTCGGGAATTCGTGGTGAAGAGACTTTGCAGAGCCTTCCACCCAGCAGACACGGAAGCCTTCTCGTCGCCATCCTTTTGAATCATTTCCTCGCAGAGTGCCGAGAGGCCAGTCGTGGATCCTGCAACGCCGGCGAGCTTTTGAGCGCGTTCGATGACCTGCGGTTCAGTGACGATGTGTCGGAGATGGACGACGTGCGATTGAGGCTTGCCGCCACCTTGAGCTGCGCCAGCAGCGGAAAGGTTGGAGACCGAGGCAAGTTGACCACCAAAGCCAAATGTCGCGGAAACGGGACGTCGGAGCCACTTGGGTGGTTGTTTTAGGGATAAAACAGGCGAGCCGACTTGGTTCGATGCGGAGATTGCCCCGAAAATGTCATCGGCAGACGAAGTGTCTTGGGCAGTGGCTCTCTCGGATGCCGACCTGTCTTGTTGAGTTTGCTGCAGTGAGTGGATTCCGATTTTGCCGTCAAAGGACGCAGTGGCCAGCAGATCAGGGTTCCGGGGACACCAAGAGGTTTGGAACGACCAGTTGTTACTGGGAGGGAGCTGTGCGACAAGGAATGTCAGACAGGAACGAAGGATGATTACGATTCTGTTACTCACCTCCCCCACAATTTCACACGTCTGAGGATTCCAACATATCGTCCGGTTGTCTTTACCACACGACAACAACAAGTCTTGATCTTGGTCACACCAAGAAAGGGACAAGATACCCTTGTCGTGTCCACTCAAAATCTTCTCTGGCGCAAGCGAGTTTCGAAGATCCCAGACCATGATGATAGGGGACGTATCATCCTCCGAGGCGGTAATCAAGCGGGTGGAATGCGCAGGCTGCCAACAAACATCACTCATGCCTCGCTTGTTGCCGACTTGCATTCCACCGAATCCGCCAATACCGGTCGGATGACCAGTCATGCCCGTTGCGGCACCACCGCCGTACGCGAGACTGATGACTTCCTTTTTCTGTCGCAAATCCCAAACCGACGTGTAGCCCGAGGATGACGAGGCTGACAGGATGTGAGGGACTACTGGGTTCCATTTGAGCGAGGTGATCTCGTCGAGCTTCTGAGATCGAGGTCCTGTCTGATGGATTTTATCGGGGTTGTTCAGATCGTATACTTTGATCTATAGATAGAGGTGTCAGACGATGATCTAGCTGAATCAGCGTGTGTTTGCGTACCTCGGCGTTGACGGAGCCACTGGCTAGCAGATTTTTAGTAATCGGGTTAAAGTCGAGACCTCGAACTGGTCCAGTGTGAGTCTCGTTTTTAAATAGCAAAGATGCGGATGCGCTGCAGGGAATCATGATCAGAATGCGACTAGAATCAGATCACGAGCTATACTCACTCTGAACCGTTCAGAATCTTTTCGGCATCCCACACTGAGACCTCGCCGGTTTCCATACCGGATGCCAATACACCTCGAGGGTTGGCCGAAGACGGAGATGACCAGGCTAAACGGTTGAACCTGATTTGTGAATTGTCAACGAGCGGGTCGTGGCATTATATAAAAGAAGCACATACCGAGCATTGGTGCTGATGCTTCCCTTGGGACCCGGTTGACCTTCACCGCCAAGTTCGAGCCCTTCTTCACTATCAGCTCCAAAGAACTCTGGCGCCCATATTTCAAGGTGACCGACATTGCTGAATGTCTCGTCAAGCGCTCCCGAGATGGTACCAGTAGCTAGGAGTGGCAGTGAGGAAGCCGAGGTGCCCCATGCGAAGGTGGCTGTGCGTTGGATCTCCTTGAGCTTCATGATGAACGTGCGGGTTTGGTGGTTTTGTGCGGATGTTCACGTCGCAGCTCTCGTCTGTGATGAAGTGGTCGAGGATGAAGGCTGAAGATCGACCTTGTTTGATACGACGTTAGATAGAGAAAGTGGCGACCGTGCTACACTGGCAGCTGATGGTCGGAAGGGAAGGATAAGTATAAGGACGACATCAAGAAGACACCTCATCATCATGACTATCCTGTTGCTGGCGTCATGCTGGCTGTCGACGAGGTCGTCGTGCGGGACAAGAGGCCGACTGCAGGCGTGGCAGATGGGCGAGATTCGGGCCTGATGTCCCACGACCAGCCTTGGACACGCGGAAGGGGGGGGGGGGGTTAAGTGAGAAATACACGTCATTACGACCTACTCCAGATACCTTCATACAGCTCTCCTGGACTCCTGCATCTTAAATCGCAGCTGGTCGTACTCGCTGTCACACGTGGTGCTTTATCTCTACATTCTGACGTTCCCATGAAGGGACAATGTATATCTATGAAATGATGACGACTACAAGCGATCACAAGAGATATCTCGCAGACCAAGCGTCACTGGTACCGAAAATCCACTTGCGCCGCCTCGCACTCGGCTATCCGACTGAGCGACATGCTGCAGAATATTCACGACGTTGCCAAAGGCGCTCCGTGTCATGCGCGGCGTAGATCAAGGAGCTCGGACTGAGCAGGTTGTGAATGAAGATGCATTGTCAACTCGTACGAGGAACGATATCTATTCGGAGCGCGAATGCGAACTATCATCTCGTGTCTTTCGGTATCCTGGCACTGACATCACCACCCTGCAGCGTGTCGTCGCTTCTCAGATTTGCTGCGAGTGATAAAGACTCCATCCGGCTTGCATGCCACACGATCAGTGTGGTGACATACGAATAGCGCTCGGCAGGGAACATCTTGACCCAGAGATACTGGTGGGACCCGACCTTCGCGCCCAGTTTGGAGAGACTACGCGTAACGCTCGACTGAATCAACTTTGAGTCCAAAGGCAAACGTGGAAGGCCGTAGTGATGAACAATCTGGCTGTGCGCCGATGCGTCTCTTCTATATCGTTTCGTGAGAAGTTGAGCAGCGTTGGACCATTCCGTAGTCAGTCGCATTCACCGGTCTAGTCACAGAACGTATATGCGCCACTGCAGCGGTCTACGACACATAGCTTACCCTAAAGACTTTCTGCAACTCTTTTGCTTCATGATACGAGTGAGGTGCGGTGCTCGTTCGCCAAGGACTCTGGAGGCGAGCGCAGCATCCACTTCGCGCCCGGGTCGTGGCGCAGACACAGGATGCGACACAGCTGACGAAAAGAAGTGACGGCCAGTTGCCCAGCGCATGTATACGAAGCTCAGAGGGAAACTCTCCGTCCACCGCTGCTGGTCGACTTCCCAATAGGGATTGTGTGACTCTCAGAGTAGCTCAAGTCTTCGATTGCTCCCTACCGCAACCTTCCCAGGTCCTCCGTGCGGCTTTGGTTGTGTCTGGCAGTAAGGGGTTGTAGAGGAGCTATTCCTCACCAGAAAGCAGGTCAATCAATGTCCCCATTCAAGAGCATGTCTATTCCCCGAAGCGAAGCGCTTGAAAACGAGTCCAGCTCAGGGGGTGCGACATCGCGTCGTGTTGTTCTGCCGAAAGGATTTAGCAACATGAATAAGACGGGCGAGCTATGGGTGCCTAGTAATCACGTCAAGCAAGAGCCTTGGAGGCTATGAATAAGGAAGCTGAAGAATTCAGGCTCGTTACATGCTGAGTGCAAAAGCTGTCTTCTTAGTCGCGTCGTGAGGTTCGCCAACTTTCGCCTAGCGCTATGCGGCCTTGACCCCTCCTATACATAGATCAAAACATCATCATGATTGACAACCACTCATTTGAGGTGCCTCGAGGCATATTCGTGCCATCTGCTCTACCCAAACTGATATTCGGATCTGCTATGGTGGGTTTCGTCGTTTCGAAGGAACAACACGCGCGATCACTCGGCATTGACCTGGGAACAGACCGCAATGATCATAATCCTATACACCTGCTTGTTACGGTGGCCGTTGTGAAGGCAAACGTACCACTCGGAAGTCATAGTTGTCAGTGTGTGTTGAGATTTTGCGCAACAAGGAATGTTAAAGGGGGTCAAGGACCATGTTGTGTTAAAACTCCGTTGCACCGTAGATTCGAAGCTCACAACGTGCTGTAAGTGGCAAAAAGAAACGTTGTCCGCTGGGTGGATTGAACACCCGACCTGCGGTATCCTTGCAACAGTGCTTATTGAGCACTACACTTCAGACCGTCGCTCTCCCACTGAGCTAAGCAGACTTCGATGAAAGCTGGAATGAGTCTAGAGTCAGATCGCTTTGTGCGTATTGTCATGTGCCGCGACCTGTTATACATGTATCGTGCAAGGAGGAGGGCAGGACATATTGTTTTCCGCTGGCACCGAATTGTTCTCGCCCAGGGTTTTCTGGCTGCACGCGCGAGGAATTAGGAGCCTTCTCTACCCTCTACCCTCTGTCCAGGATCCAGGCGAGTCCAGGCCACAGTGGAGCGACACAGCTAGCGACACAGAGTACTGTATGGCGGTCGAGCATTCTCCACCCTCCGCAAAGCTGCGATACGCAAAATTGCGTGCTTGCCAGCTCGGATTTCGTCTTTGGCGGCAACAGCTCGGCAACGCTTTTTCGGGTCCCGCCAGGAAGTGAACGAGCTAGCGAACGCCGCCGGTGAGACCGTCAAAGCGGGGAATCAAGGCGGAAACTCCAGGGAGAGTGCTGATCTTGAAAAACCTCCACATATTCCGGCCGAATGAAAGAAACGTGGTCTTGCATCTCGATCGCAGGAAATGACGCCGAGTTTGCTCGTCACCGCTCAAGATTTGAAAACGAAGCATCCAGTACAGCGCTCGCCATAGTCGATGTCGCCATCTCGTCCAAAAAAAGTCGTTGCTAAGCATTCTCTACATCGTTGGCAACGTCTTCATCGCTAAGCACATTATTCACCAGCCGACAGCCTACCTCAGCCAACGCAGGATGACGTTCCAGTATCGAGGCTCCATTCTTCACATATTTTCGAAGACGCAATGTATAATGTTCAAAATGGTACCGTCGACGTCTCGTTCGCCGTACAATTATTCCATAACAACTGCCTTCAGACCCCTCATTCGGCAACATATACTAGGCTTCGCCATCCGTCTTTACAGTTTCAAGTTGCGTGCTCCGTCAGCATCGTAGTTGGGTTTCTACACTGCTTCAGAACAGTATCATCGCCTCCAGGTATATAGTCGTCCGCAAGGCTACCAATTCGGAATCATCGATACAGGCCTCAACCACATACCAGCGCTCCGAATACCACCTGGATCCGATTGCCTTTCAGAGTGATACGCATAGCTCAACGAGCCTCGTCACTCAGTATGCCTGCTCAAGCACCAGGAGCCTCGACCTCGCCACCAGCATCCCTCTTTGGCACTACCGTGCTCAACAGGGGTCGCGACAATGAGAAGAATTCATCCATAAACAAAGCTAGGAGGACCGTCAAGAAGGTACTAAGTGTCCCTGAAGATGCACCAGAGACCGTTCACTCGTTCGACTACCTTAGAGGCAACACCGGCAATCTCAAGGACAATGTTCTGGCATACGTCAAGTCGCTATTTCCTTTCATTCAATGGGTTCCTCGATACAACTTGCAGTGGCTTATTGGCGATTTGATTGCGTTAGTACCATTGCCACTTGAAGAAGCTGCGCCCCGACTGACACTGCTCTCATTGATAGAGGTATCACCGTCGGCATTGTGCTCGTTCCCCAAGCCTTGTCTTACGCCAAATTGGCCTCGCTACCCGCTGAATATGGTCTTTATTCATCGTTCATTGGTGTGTTAACGTAAGTAGTATATGCTCTGCCTTGTCCTACGACCAGCGCTGACACTTCGATCCTCCAGCTATGCGTTCTTTGCCACATCGAAGGACGTTTCTATCGGTCCCGTCGCTGTCATGTCCTTGCAAACTGCCAACGTTATCGCTCATGTTCAAAAGACACATCCGGGTGTCTGGGACAATCAGACCATCGCCACCGGGCTGGCATTCATCTGTGGATTCATCGTCCTCGGCATCGGGTTGCTTCGACTAGGGTGGATCGTCGAATTCATCCCTCAACCCGCCGTCTCCGGTTTCATGACCGGATCAGCCATCAACATTGCCGCTGGTCAGGTTCCCGCACTGTTCGGTATCGCGAAAAGGCTCAACACCCGAGAGGCAACGTACAAGGTCATCATCAACACACTCAAGAATTTGAAATACGCCAAGCTGGACGCTGCGTTGGGTGTCACGGCGTTGTTTACGCTTTACCTCATCAAGTGGTCGATGGCGTACGCAGGCAACCGATACCCCAAGTTCCGACGGGCTTCCTTCTTCATCACTTGTTTCCGACACGCATTCGTTATCCTTGTTTGGACCATCATTGCATGGAGGATGGTTGCTGGCAAGAAGCCCGCGAAATATCCGATCTCTGTTCTTGGTACGGTACCTCGAGGACTTCGAGACGTCGGGCCTCCTACGATCACCGCCGAATTGCTAGGAGCGCTGGGACCGCAACTACCGGTATCCACCATCGTCCTTTTGCTTGAACACATTTCCATCGCCAAAAGTTTCGGTCGACTGAACGGTTACAAGATCAATCCCAATCAAGAATTGATCGCTATCGGTGTCAACAACACTCTTGGTACGCTTTTCCGAGCTTACCCTTCGACCGGTTCATTCTCTCGATCTGCCTTGAAGTCCAAGGCCGGTGTGCGAACTCCAGCAGCGGGTATTCCTACCGGTATTGTTGTCATCATTGCTCTGTACGCATTGACAAGCGCCTTTTACTACATTCCTAACGCCGCCATCTCCGCCTTGATCATTCACGCCGTCGCCGATCTCGTTGCTTCGCCTGCTCAATCGTACGGTTTCTGGCGAGTTGCACCCTTGGAGTACATCATCTGGCTTGCCGCCGTTTTGGTATCCATCTTCTCTTCCATCGAGAACGGTATCTACACCTCCTTGGCAGCGTCGGTCGTCTTGCTCTTGTTCCGAATTGCCCGTCCTCGAGGCCATTTCCTTGGTCGAGTGCGAATCAGGCCTGAGAACGATTCGGACGAAAAGCACACCCGTGACGTCTACGTTCCCCTCTGTGGAGACGGTGGTATTACCAACCCCCAGGTTAAGATCGAAGCTCCTCCTCCTGGTGTCATTATCTATCGGTTCGAGGAATCCTTCCTGTACCCCAACGCATCCTTCATCAACCAAGCGATCCTCGACCAAGTCAAGGCCAAGACCCGCCGTGGAAGGGACATGACTTTCGTTAAAGTTGGAGAACGACCCTGGAATGACCCGGGACCCAGAAAGGGCCAGGCTATTGAAGACCCTAACAAGGCTAACCAACCGATCTGTCGTGCAGTCATTCTCGACTTTGCTGCGGTTGCCAACCTCGATACGACTGGCGTCCAGAACTTGATCGATCTTCGTCGAGCCGTCGAAAACTATGCAGACCAAACAGTCGAATTCCACTTTTCAGCGGTACTCAGCCCGTGGACAAGGCGAGCTCTCATCGCTGGTGGTTTCGGTTTCGGTACACCACGACACGCTTTGCCCGCCGAAGTTGCGCCAGCTCTGCCGCCCATGGATATTCTTTCACCGGCAGATCGAGCTCGACAGGAGACTGAAGCTCTCGAGTCCAACGCCTATGGAAGTGGAGCGCAGACTCAACAATCACGCCAAACAAAATTCGAGCATGCCGAGGAGTCTGCCTTTACCGACCAGGAAGCCGGTAAACGCTCTCTTGCAGAATCTGAAACGAGTACAGAAACACCTCTTTTGTCTACCACCACACCGTTCTTCCACTTCGACTTGGCCAGCGCCATAGGTGCGGTCGCGCCGGGCGAGTAGGCACTGGTTCTCGTCGTTTTTGGGACTTCGAGCGGTGGTGTGGGTATAATAGAATCAAAAAGACATTCAAGCGATGTCACTTCATGTCTAGAGTAGTGACGATCAAAGTAACGAGCTCAACAAACATTGTAAAGAATAGAGGACAGGTTGTATATAATAGGTATCTCAGAGCGATGCAGTGTTGCGATCAAATTCTAAACTACAATACGACTGGCTGGAGGCTTGCGAGCTCGTTGAGTTTCTTTTGGTGACAAGCACTACTACTACAGAAGTACCAAGGAGGAGGCTGCGAGCTGTTCACACTGAAGATCAGCAGGTTGTTCGATCATATGTCTACCCCGGATCCCGGCCAAATCCGCCTCCCCGTTGCCCGCGGGCGATTCTTGGTTCCCAGCATCCTAGGGGGTTTGAGAAGCATATGGGCGAGTCCTGTATTAAACAGCTGTGCAACATGTCTAGTTCGTTTACATAGATACAAAGAGACCTCGTGCATCGCTTTTTGAATCTTTGTGTGACCGCTCTAACCGATCTTCGATCCGACCTACCTAGACGAAATGACGGTTGATATGACAAACCCACTCGACGTACAACATGAGGTCAGACCCCATTTCCCGACGCTCAAACAAGACTTTATCTTTGCCGACAACGCTGGTGGATCTCAAATCCTCCAATCAAGTATCGATGCCATCACCCAGTACCTGCTCAAGAGCAACGTTCAGCTCGGTGGAGGGTATGCTCATTCACTGGAAGCCGGTGCACTGGTGGATACCGGCAAGGAAGCTGCTGCTGCACTTACCAACGTCGAGGGAGGCGCCGACCAGATCGTCCTCGGAAGTTCAACAACACAACTCGCCGTGAATTTAAGTCACGCCAGTGCGGTGACAGGCAAGGGGCATGGGTTATTCGAGGTCAACGACGAGATTATCCTCTGTGCGGGCGATCATGAAGGTACGTCAAGCGTGACGGTTTTGGAGACGAGTCCTAACGCTGTTCCTACTCCCTACAGCCAACGTGGGCCCATGGGCCAGGCTCGCCAAGGAACTGAACCTTACGATTAAATACTGGAAGCCAACTCAGTTGCCCGGGTCCAATTCTCCGTTTGCAGTTGGGATGGATCCGTCCGAACTGGAACCCTTGCTGTCAGCCAATACTCGATTGATCGCATTCACCGCCACATCGAACATCTTGGGCCACCGTACGTCTGTCAAGGAGGTTATTGATCTAGTCAAGCGAAAGACGGGAGGTAGATGCATGACGGTGGTCGACTGTGTGGCATACTGTGCTCACGGTAGAATGGATATGCAGGAGTGGGGGTGTGACGCTGTTCTCTTCAGTTTCTACAAGGTGCGTCAATCTTCCTGCAAACAAGTTGAATATGTCTTACACCCGTCCATCCTACACA